AAGTGTACCTCTGGTGCAAATTACTGACCTCTGTCATCATTTTAGGTGGGGGAACTTGCACAATCGGTGGCTGACTAAATACTTTTTTGCCCCACTGTATCTCAATATCATAATAAAAGTTCAATGAAGAGAAACATAATTTATTGAGATACAGAATTCAGTTATTCTATGTGGTGATGAGACTCAGATGACCCATTATAACAACAGAGTCCCGGCTACGATAGGATTTAGCCCAGGACCCCTTGGAGTTTAGACGCTAGTCGTGGTGCAGGTGAAGATGGAGGTTTGTATAGAGTTTTGAGTGACTACGGTGAGGCGGAGATGGGCTGAACAAATTAGAGCCTGAATGGCAGAATGACAAATGAGCAGTGATATTTACAGCACACAGAATGGAGGCTAACTGGCTTACAGAAACCAGACAAGAAAATGACTGGACTAGAGCAATGATGTCGGCATTGAGTTTGACAGTGTGGGAAAGTGGATGTAAGAACTAGACTAGCCGCTGATGTATCCATCTTTCCAGCAAAAGTCTTTGCAACAATGCAAATGACTACCTTGTAACAGCTTTCAGACACAATGTTTAAAGAGTGTTTTGAAAGATTTTAGTTTTCATGTTTATTGTTAGACTCTGCTGGTAGATGATTGTAAAAGATGTCACTTTTATATAACCATAACATGAACTGGTCCATGGTACTCCAACTCAGAGGTCCATTCATGTATGCATGTAGCTCCACGAAGGAAGTTAGCTGTGAATGAAAGCTTTCAGGTCACAGGTCTTTATCTGTACCATTCCCCCCCTTCTCAGTGGTACAAAATAAACCATACAGTGAATATATTGTGCAATAGGACACAAAGTAAAAGCCAATTTCATAAATGTAAAATGTATGAAATTGGTCTAAATGAGCAATCAGTGAAAATATGTCAGATGTCACACATGTTATTCTAGAAGTGTGCTCTTAAAACTGTGGCGTGGGCTGTATGCTGGGCGGCAGCCTGCAGCTCTGTTTTGAATGGGACCCTATAAATATACTACTGCTTATGTACCCAACCCAAAACAACATGTAACAACACCTTAACTTAGAAAACTCTAAACTTAATTAGTAATGAGAAACATGGTGAGTCAGTAGACTCCAACATTTCCAACTTTTATAACTATGGTACAAAGATATGTTTGTTTTGATTTAGCTTGAGACAACCAGGAGTTAAACTGTGCTGGAGGCAGCCGTAGTGGAGCTCTGCTTGTTGATACCTTTAGATATTATCTCTCACGTATGCAGTAGAACACTGCCTTCCTTTTTTCTGTCCATCCACCCATTTCCATTTTCTTAACCACTTATCCAATTCAGGATCACTGGGGGGCTGGAGCCTATCCCAGGAGTCACAGGGCGAGAGCAGGGTACATTATACAGGGCAGTGGTAACTTTAGTAATTTTTTTATCCATACAAATTACACATACTAAGAAGAATTTGCTTTCACTGAAGAATCATATTTTATGGTATATGCTTACATCTGGGTGTGGCCTTGTGTATGTTTTGTTAAGTTCGTGTAGGCTAACCTTTTCCATTAAATTAGTGAAAATATTGCTTCATCTTATCATCAAAAGGCACAGAGTGTACTAAAATGAAATGTATCCAAAAGTAAGAATCTTAGATTTTATTTATCTTAATTAAAATAAATATAATTAATGAGCAATGTTGTTACTCTGGACAATTCACATTAATATAACACAAATGAAACTAGTATCTACAAAAGAAACAGCCTATAAGGTTAAAGCCAGTGGCCAAATGTTACAGCATACACAGGCCATATTTCATCAAAATCCAGGCCTAACACATAATTTTCTTTTCCCACTTTATACCTTTTTCCTGGGGCATCAATCATTTTTAATCAAAGATGTCTACATTTTGTTTTTGTTTGTAATTTCATGAGTTGGGCGCACCATTAGAGTGCAAGTTTCCCATGTTTCATGCTAAATGGAACACTTATAAAATGGTCTTTGTGTGAAGGGTTTGCTGCATGGCATCCAAAAAAACGCCTAAAATAAAAATGTCCCTCTGAAACAAGCATGTGAAAGTTTAAAGTCTCACCACTTGTGTTTTCTATTATATTGATTAAGCATGCCCTAAAATCTGCTTTAAAGCATTGGCTACATGTTGATAAGATAGCTTGTTATTAAAAAATATTTATTATTTAAAGCACACAAATGTCACTTTCTATTTTATTTTCTTGTGCCACAGGATTAAAAAAAAAAAAAACTTTTTTAAACTCAGGAATAAATGAACTCTAATTTTTTTTTCATCTTGTCAAACATGCTCTCACTCCCCGTGAACACACTGGCCTTTGGGGACATGACAGAATTGATGGCTTACCTCCTTAGCGCTTGCGTGTGTGTACGTATGTGTGTGAATTGTGCTCCTTTGAAGTTCTGAAGTCCGCCCATCTCTCTATGGCTCTATATTGTGCTCAACAGCTCCATTTATCCCACCTTAATCCCCTGACTTAAACTTGCATAAATCACGCTGAGTTGTTTCTAAACCTGGGCAAGCTGGAAAACAGTGTCTCTGTCTCTGTTTCGTTCTGGTTCAGCTCTCATTGTGAGTTTAAGGGCTTCTGGATATTTAGCCGACCATGCTAATGATTACTGGACAAGTACAAAAAATTTATTTTTATGTGGCAACTGCGTTTTTTCTCCTACACATTTTAGCAAACCTGAATTAGGTAAATGTGCCTTAAGACAGAGAAAACATAAGATATGAAAGCATAATTAATGGTATTTTTTCTGTTTATACATTAGAAATATACAGTTAGCTTGTAGCGTAGGAAAAAGAAAAGGCTTTAGAAGAAAATAGGGCTCATGGGATCAAAAAGACTTCTAAGACTAAACTCACAAAGTTCACACTCACAAATCGTTTAACTGTTTTACTCTAGCAGATCATATGCAAACATTGTAGAAGTCCCTTCTCTGGCCTTTTTCTATGGCTGGGACATAATGTGACATTGTTTTAACCAGCATTCAGTCCAAGTCTCTGGGCAGCATCACGACACCCATAGTGCATCTAAGTTAACCTCTCTCTATCGATGGCTCTAGGCCAGATTAAAGTGCTGGGGCTCATTGTTTACACAGCTCTGTGGTGCCACGGCTGAGCAGGCCCAAACAATGGACCCCTGCTCCCTTTTGTCAGAGTGAGAGGAAGAATGGAGACCTCTTGACATGGCAACCTGAAGCCTCAATGCCCCTACTTCACCTAGCTGAGAGGGTCACAACGAGAATGAGAGGGGAAAAAAGGAGAAGAGGGGAAGTTGGACATAAGAAAGAAGGAGAGCAGAGAGAAGAAAATGGAAAGGGAAGAAAAGAGATATAATATGGAAGGTAGAAGATTAATTAAGAATGGAGGAAGAAAGCTCGAAGTAAAGGACGTGGAAGAGGAATGGGAAAAGGAGAGGCAATGACAAGTGGATAGGAGATGCAGAGAAAAGCAACACTGAACTTACTTATGTAGGAATCATAAGTTTTGTAATGATGACAGAAGCAGATATATAAATGTATGCGTAATAATTTGATTGGTGATATCAGGCTTGCTTTTTGTTTTACTCTTAAGTTAAACGAGAAAGAGAACTAGCAGAGCTGGTGCTGTCCTGACAATGTTCCGCTTATTTTAGTTTGAGATGGCTCATCATCTCCTTTCAGAACAGCAAATTTATCATTTTCTACTTATTGGTTGCAGGTCACTTTCTGGGTAACAACACAGTTATTGACGTGCTTCGTCGCCAGGGATATGAGGTGGAGCACACACCTGCTGGGCAACCCATAAACCGGTGAGTTTGCTTCAGTCTAATCATCATCATAATGCTGCTTGTTTAACAGGACTGGACCGTAAGACATCCATGGCTTTTAGATGCAGTTTCTCATATACTATATGGTGTTTTCGGTAACATCTCCCCGCCTGTGTGCTTTTTGCAAGTCTTCTCTTGTTTCAGCTTAGATTGTACTGGAAGATAAGTGTCACAAATTCCCCGCTGGCCACCAATGAAGTGGTGTTGAAAAGGCCAACTTAAGTAGGGTTCTCACCTCCTGCTGTGAAGCATGTAGTGCAGTCTACCTTGGCACACTGAGGGTGGTAATCTCGCTTTAAATCTGTGTTCTTGTTCCTGTGTCTGAGTGAATGAATAGGTAATTCTACTTTCTCACACACAGCCCCCGTGTTTGATACGGTATTATGAGCCTGAGATGAACCCACATCTTGCCTGTTCATAGACTACCTTGATGTTGTCTTGAGAGAACAGACAGCCTTCATTATATCCATGTATAACAATTTATTATTCGACTTCTCATTAGTATATCTGACATCACAGTTGTTCAGGTCTAAGTGCATTTACTCTCTTTGTTACCAGTATTGGTTTATTCATGGTGATTAACGTGTCTTGAAAGAAAACTAGTGTCAAATAGTATCAAAAAGAAGAGTTTAGGTTTTTCTGTCATGCTTCCCAACTTGTAATTTGTTCTTCCACAAAAAGAAGCTATGTTAACTATTAGACTGTAGTTAGTTTTTTGTCCTTCCATTGCATCCTGAATGGAGAAAGAATGGAGACCTGTTTATAATAATATATAATATTAATAATTAATAATACTTTTTTCTCGACTTCGCTCTGCTCTTGATTTGAAAGTGTATTTCTCCTGCTTGTTTCACTGCCATTTACTTATTATGATCAAATATTCACTTTAAACTGTCATGTTAATATTTTATTGGCAGGCTCTTTAACAGGACTGTCAGGTGGAATAAACTCCTGGCCTGCATAAAAACACTCTAACCTGCTTTCAGCACTTTGCTACTTTTGCTCAGCATTTTCTCTGCACTTGTAGACTCTCCCACGAGACTATAATGCCATGTTTCAGTGACCTCACAGGAAAATGTGATATTTATTTTGCCTGTAACAGCAAAACAGACCTTGTCCTTACATTCTTTGGTGTCCATGGAAATATCCTTGGACAAGGCACAGAGGCTGTAAGATGTGCTCAGTTTGTTTCATCTGCATCTTCTTTGGTGCATTATGAAAGTTCCATTTATGGTAAAGCCCTCCAGACAATCATATGCAGGGTGAAATGTGGGCAGGCTGCAGTGTGAAGTGTGAAACCAACACTGGCTTCATCGCCAGTATAGTCCAGCATCACCTTCGTATCCATGATCATTGTTAATTGGAGCTCATATAGTTCACCACACTTGATGAGTTCTTCAACAGTGATCTCTTTTTGTCCCACGTGATTTGATTCAAACAGCCCCAAAAATGTGTTTTCAGCATAAAGATTTCAAGTTTTTGCTTTTGCTTAGGACAGGCAAACATCATCTTATAATCTTCACATGGTTGCTTGCCTTGTATCCCCAGTTTTCTGCTTCTGATCACCTAGGCAGGGTAACTACTCTTCTTCTTTTGCAGACAGGCTTGGCACCATCGTTGGCAGGATTAAAGATGATTAAAGACTAAAGTTGATGATTTTATTATAAAAGTGACATGCAACGAACCCCTTTTCTCTTTCTTTCTAAAGCATCTTACCCTACTGTAATGTGCATCCTCTAGGCGATCATCATCTGGACCCGTCTCACCAGAGCTGGAGGACCATTACGATGAGTCGCCTCAGCTGGAACCTTTCTTGCATGAGCTTCCTCACAAAGAGGAGGGTCAGGGGCATACTCTGGAGGAGGATCTGTTACCCCACATGCTTCTGCCACCAGATAGCCTGGAGGTTCTGGAGAAATCTGAGAGAAAAATGCTAAAGAAAAAGAGGAGGAATAAGCAGAAGAAACAGCGGCACAGGCATTTTAATGACCTCTGGGTTCGGATAGAGGAGAGGTAAGATGAAAGAAAGAGGGGTAAAGAGGTGAAGGTCTTTCTTCTCTATATATGGGTTATCAATGACTAGAGATGAAAGGCCACAGGTGAAATGAGAGTATGATAGCAAGAGCTCAGAAACAAGCCAGAGAGGATGTAAGGGGAAATGTGTAACTCACACTTGTATATAGAATAAAACTGACACTTCCTGGTGCAGTGCTGCAGGCTCAAACAGCCACCATATCACATCACCATGCACTTCATGCAGTTTGCATAAACTTCAGCACATACACATATGTGCCCTGCAGTGGTATATGAGTCCTGACTAGTTCCAAGCTAGTGTAGGTGTCTTGGTTATGAAAAGAGCGACCTGGGAATTCCTGCTAAGCATCGGGATTTGGTCTCACAGTAGCTCCAGGCAGGAACTCACAGGACAACACGATAAGATCACCTTTCAGACAAAGAAGAATCTTTTGCACAAGGTGTGGTCTGCCATGTGGAAACATCCCTGCATTTTTTGCAATGGCAAAACACAGTTTTGTCATTGGGTTGGAAGCAGTAACGCTAATATGAACTTCAACACATAAACTTAGTCCTAATCTATTCAGTCACACCTTTGGGGAATTTAAATTTTCCATGGCCTTGCCCAAATTTGGGTTGCAAGAGAAAAGACAAAAGGACAACATGTGATCTTGACACAAAACAGAGAAATTTTTATCTTAATTGAAACAGAGAATGGGTGAACAGCTAACATTAGCGTTATTCAGATGTAGATCTGGACTTAAGAAGTTGTTGCAGGCTGCAGTTTGTAAAACTGAACTTGTGCTACCAGTATTTATTATTTCAATATGCAGTATGCACTAGTCCAAATTAGTGATGTAAAGAAAAAGCTAAACAAATAGTGTCACTTCTTCATGTGAACAGAGGAGGTTTGTGAACATTTGTGTACATTATTTCTGCAGAAGTGTTTTCTCTAAATCTGCAAGATCCTGTATTTTGAGCAGAAATGAAACAGACTCTTTGTGCATGGACGTTACAATGTTATCCACGTTCTTGTATATTTTAATGTCTAAAAAGGTGGCTGAGTAAGAGAAAGTAAGGCAATTTGAGAAAAAGAAGCAACTCCAGTCTCACAGTTCTCTGTTGTGTGGCCATGGTATGTCACACCTGGTTTCTTTGCGCCTCTTAAGGCCTTTTCACACAAACTAAAGTTAATTTCTCTAAAACTATGCCCCTTGAGTATTTGGCTGAATGCAAATAAGTATGAAGAGTAATGTAAATTTGGGGCAAAGTGGCATTATGTTAGGAGTGTTTCTTTTTAATAAAAATGGAAATGCTATGATGTCTGTGTGGTTTTGACCACCTCAAAGCAGTCATTGCCTCACAGACACTTCAGTCTGTGTAATTTGGGGATGAAGGAAGAGTAACAAAGGGCATAATAGCGTTCAGGTTTATTGGCAGTTGGTCATGTGACGATCAGTGATTTGAGCACCCAGAAATTCTGTCAGAGAACTTTTTCTTTGTGGCTTTCATCATCATTAATGTTTCCATTGTTGACTTTCTGCAGTCTGCATATTTTCTCTGGCAATTTTTGACAATGTGTGGATGTGGAGAGAGGCTGGTTTTCCTGCTGATCCTGCCACAATTTCCCCTACAGTACCAAAGAATTGTACAGTGCAGAAACAAAACAAAATGCTTTTTGTTTAAAAAAAAAAAGTAAAAGTCTGGAATTAATAAGACCCTACCCAGTCTGTAGTGACTCTAAATTGCAAAATGGGAGCCAGTGCCTGTAGAAAAATTATGGTGTAGTTTACTAATTGCAGCATACAGAGTTTTAAAGCCTCTGAAATTAAGATCTGATGTTGTTTTGTTTTTCCTGTAATAAAAAGAGTGAAAAAAATCAATGAATGTAAGCAAACGTTAATGTCACAGCAGTGAAGATGGGTTCATTGTGAAAGCCATCATTCAGTTAACCCTTTAAAGGCTAAACCATGATGTAGTTGACAGAAATTAAATTATTTTGCATTAATGAGTGTTAATTTGTGTCAGTGTGCAATGCGCAGCGTCATTGTGCAACCAATTTTTTTTTCAGTTGGGGAGCGCCTGGGGGGGGGGGAGTATTACCCACACTAATACTCATTCCCTTTGCCCACAAACCAGTGAAAGAAATGCAAATACAGAATGAATGCAGGATCCTCGTTAATTATACCAATTAAAATCATTCTGTTTTGTGTTCATT